GATTCAGAAAAATGTTTTTAATTATTCAAGTAGTATAAGGAAGGTTTAAAGGTGTAAAATAAGGAATAAATAAGGAAGGTTTTGGGTGTAAAATGAGAAAAAAACTGTTACATATACTTTTTTTAACCTTTTTCTAATGTATAGTCAGTTTACAATGTTGTGTCAATTTCTGGTGTACAGCATAATGTTTCAGTCATACATACATAATATTTTTAAATGTTTTTTTCTCATCAAAAAGTAAGTCAAAGTCACTGTAGAAAGCGTAGGTATCCTCATGTATTTGTGAATTACTTCCCCCAGGTAATGAATTACCCCCAAGACGTTGGAGGTACTTGGTAATGGCACTGCTGGAGTCTCATTTCATACCGCTTTCTGTACCCTCGGTGCTGGGCTCTCTTGGGTCACCAGCAGAGGGTGGTTCCCATCTGCACATTAGCCCTAAAGACAGTTCATCTTACTGAGTGTTTACTGCCATGAGCCAAGTGTCCCCTTCTGAGTGGGCGCTCCTGCCTGCCCTCGAGGGCAGGAAGATGACAGGCTAGGAGAGAGGTCACTAGGAAGAGAACAGGCCCAGGAACCAGGAGGTGAATGAGGCGTGAGGGCCCCCCCTCCAGGCCAGATTAAAGGGGAGGCTGCAGCTCAGGGCAGGTATACAGGGCTCAGCTTGCCCTTGGCAGCCCAGACAAGAGCTCGACACTCAGGAGGGTGGGGGTTGAGGCCCCCAGTGTACAGCCCAGCGTGGCTCCCACAAGCTACAGGCCTGATGGGGCTGGGGCCACGTGGCCCCTGCATCTGGATAGGAGTAAGCAGGCCGGCCCAGGTTGCAGACTGGCGGCCTGTGCGTGCCGATGTGTTTTCTCTGGCTCACAGAGTGTCTTCATTATTATTACTAGTACATTTCATCAGTTCTACGACTAACAGTTTTTCACGTCTGGACATCTGTGATCTCAGGATGCATCTTAAAATCACTGGCCACTTAAATAATGGGCAGTAGTTTTTCTTGCATCAAATAATGTCATTCTCACAAACCATGACATCTTTGATTCAGTGGAACATGAGTTGCCAACTTTTTAATAATCAAGTTTATATGAGGGGGAGGGTATATCTCAGTGGTAGAGCACATGCTTAGCATGCACGAGGTCCTGGGTTCAATCCGCAGTACCTCTGTTAAAAAAACAATACACTAATTACCTCCCCCACCAAAAAATTTAAATAAAATAAATAAAAATAAGTAAGTTTTTTCAAAAAGAAGTTTATATAAAAAGCAGGATTTCTGGCTTCTGGTGGGAAATTAGAAGACCTGTAACGTGGGGCAGCGTTCCTACGGCAGCTTCCAGGGATGCTCGGTGGCACCTGCCCCCTTTAGGTGGGAGAGGAACCCTTCAGTTTGCCCCAGTCCCCACTGCAGATCAATGGAAAGTCTCTGAGTGAGAGAGGCTCACCCTCCCTGGGGTGTAACTTCCCCCCACCCCCCCACCCAGAGGATAATGCGTACGTGGTCACTGGTTTCCCTTCTGCACAGGTGCCCCTGGGGAGGTGGTGCCCTCCGGAGAATCAGGTGAGTGTCTGTTAGGGGAGCGGGGGTGACGGTGCTGGTGTAGAACAAGGTCTGGGCATCATCCCTTTCTCAGAGAGCCAGCTGCTGCCAGGTGCACGGCTGTGAGAGACATGACTCGGGGACCAGGGGCTCCGCCCTGGGCTCAGCAAACAGGCAGGGCTGGCTGTGGCATGAGGCCGGGGACCTGTGGAGGTTAGAATGGGAGTCCAGGCAAGAGCAAAGAGATGGTAAATAGCAAGCTATATATAGGTCCCCTGGGGGCTGGAGATTCGACACGGGCATTTTCAGAGGCCACCTGTGGCGTCCCTCTGTGGGGTGGAGGCACCTGTAAGGACCCAAGCTGGCCTGGGCACTAATGCTGACTTTCTAATTTCCAGGACTCATACTCCGAAGGAGAGGCTCTGACCCAGCCAGCGGTAAATACACAATCTCTGAGGGGAGAGCGGGAGGCGACCTGGATTCCGGGGGTTGGGACGGGACCACAGACAGTCTAAGGCGGGGGACAGCCCCAGCAGCGGTGCCATCACCAGCCAGACTGTCACTGTAATTCAGGAAAGGCACCTCTGGACTCGGGGGAAATGGAACGGAGCAGACTCAGGTCTGTGCAGGAGGGAGTCACCGGGGTCCAAGGACAGCCACCCCACCGTCCAGCTCTGCCCTGACCCGTCCTGCAGTGGGCGCCCTCTGACCCAGGAAGCAGAAGCCAGGAGAGCCGTTCTCAGCGAGGCGGGGGAGAGAGAACCCCACCTGCTGTCCCACATCAAAGGTAAACGCCTGTCTCTTTCTTGTTCCTCAGGAGAAGTGGAGGCCTCTCAGTTAAGAAGACTGAATATAAAGAAGGATGGTAAGGAAACTGGTGCTCCAGAGCCGCTTGCACGGTCTGCTCCAGGTTCCTCTGGGCGGAAAGTCTGCTGGTGGCCTGGACCAACAGTAACCGTCCCCCTTTTCTCGTGTGCCCTGCAGTTTGCAAACGCCTCGCTTAGAACCACCTTGAGAAGCTGTCCAGTGATTCCCGTTTTGCAGATACGGAAGCTGAGGCTCCAGGGTGGGGAGTGGTCTCCCAGTTACTGAGCGGCGGGACTGGGCCCTGGCCCCTGGCCCTGTGCTCTCCGTGTTGTGCGCGGAGTCCCTAGTGTGATAAGGCCCTGCAGGCCTCCCGGCCACGATAGGGAGCTGGGAGTGGGCCGGGCTGAGGAAGCCGTGAGGTTAGACCGACTGGACCCCATGGAAGGAGCCATGAGAACCAGAGGGACCCCGTCTGCTTCAGGCCCGGAATTGTGGGGGCTTCAGTGGGGTGGGGGGTGGGGAGACCATGGTTTTTGGTTAAACAAATGGCAGTTGTTCTAGAAACATCTTGAGTTGTTGCAAAAGCCCACCTTTAGGGAGGGGGCGACCTGGGCCTGTGTCGAGCTGGATAGCGCTGCCTCTGTCCAGCTAGACACAGCCCGGGCACGTGTCAGCCATCCCGGGCTGAGAAGTGAGCCTCGCCAGACTGAAACCGAGATTCCCAAAGCGTGGGCCGTGTCCATGTTGTTTCAGGATGTGGTGTCACACCCCCAGTGGAGAAGGTGACTGCCTTTCCCAGTCTCTGTCTCTGCTTGGAGCCCCCGTGCCTTTAATGCCTCTCTGACCCTTGCTCACTGCCCTTCGGACACAGGGCAGGCCTGTCCTGTGTGCAGAGCCTTCCGCGGGCGGCGGGCGGCGAGGCCTTCCCCGTCTGGCTTTGTGCGCCTTGTGTTTGCTTTTAAGACATGGGATCCTAGTTTTCCACTGACTGTTGTGACATAAAGTTTCCTTTCCAAGGTAAATCTATTTAAGGAAAAAAGGAATCTGCTTAAAGAAACACTTTAAGTAAACATTAGTACAGATGGTCCTTGGACAGCACGAAGCTGTGAAGGCTGTGAGCGGTGCTGCGTAGAAAGGGCAGAGCCCAGAACCCACAAAGGTGGTGTGTGGATGGCTGAGAGCTGAGAAAACAGATGAGAGTGACCCCCTAGGTCCCTCCTGGTTTGAATACACCTCGGAGTCCTTATCCTGGCCTGATCTCTTCAGCCCCCAAAACTTCTAGTTCCCAACAGCCCCTCCACTCACCTGGTGGAACCCTTTGCTGTCCTGGGTCTGTGCTTTGGTCTCACTTCTAACTTTGTCTCATACTGTGCCTCCCTGCCTCCCACGTGACATGGTAGGTGAACGCACACACATTCTCCCCACCCCATCCAACTCCTGCTTCCTTGACAGTCTTTAAGGCTTAGTGCAAACTCTCATTCTTTCAGGAAGCCCTCCTGGACTGCCCCAGATATGGTGACTCCTGAATATCTAGGACATTTACAACTGCATCCAGTTCCCAGTATAGGTACCTTATGATGCACAGTATAGGTACCATCCCCCACTTGACAGATTTCTAGGTTATTTCTAATTCTTTCACTCTTTCAAACTAAGCTGTCCTACCCATCCAGTCCTCTGATCTTGCATTTTGTTGCTGTCTCTCGGTCTTTAAAAACACTTGTATTTTCTAAATATTTATTCATAAGGAAATGGGGAAAAGATTCAGGGAGAAATTCTCTGTTAGAGATTCATTTTGCACTTCTGAAAATTTTGGTGAGGCAAGAGTTCTGCAGTCCACCTCCCCCCTAGGCTGTCACAACTCTGAAGAGACCTAAGCCTGCTACGTCTAGTTCTGCATAATGTACTTTTTTCCCTAAAGGATAAACTGATTTCAGAACCAAGAATGTTCTAGATATACTCTGTTGATTATTTTTTCCCTAGGGGGAAAACAACAACAACAAAATCAAAACCAGAAATAGCCTCCTCACGTCTGTTCACTTGCCTTCCAAATGCCCTTGACAGCAGTGACATGTAATACCACTCTGCCTTTTACTATTTGCAAAGCACTTCCCCATCCGAGACCCCCGTCCATCTGTCAGTGGTGGAGAGGGTGCTCTCCTCACTTTGTCAATGAAAACGCTGAGGCTCAGGGAGGCCAGGACACTTGTCCAAAGCTTCACAGCACATCAGTGACCAAACTGGCCTAAACTAGGACACATTCCCAGCAGCCTCTGCTCCCCACTCAGAGAGCCAGCCTCATTCCAGGAAACCGTCTCTGAATTGTCCTCACTTTTTCCCTTTTTCTTTCTTTCCTTTAGAAATCTTTTTTGCATCTCCCCTAATCGCAGCCCTTTGTCTGGGTCAAGTCCCCTTTGTTCTCTCCCCTGATGCCTGACAAAAGGCCGGGGTGGGGGGAGTCCTCAAACCACCCCTAAATTCCTGCCCAAGGCATGGGCCCTGCCCTCCAACTGCATTCTCTACCTCCGTTAACTATGATGAAGAGCCTGCAGTCCCACAAAAACACACATACAAGGGCCAGACACATTCATGTGTCATGATGTTTAGTGCACTGTCTGCAGTAAGAGCAAAAAATCAGACACTTCTAGCCTCATCAATAGGGGACTGATTAAATAAATTAGGATAAGCTTATACCATGGAATACTATGCAGCCATCAAAAAGCACAGAGCAGATCTATATGCTCTGAGATGGGAAGATGGCCCCAATCTATCACTGAGAGGAAAAAAGCAAATGACAGAGCAGCAGGTTTACAAATTGATCCAGCTTTTGTTTTTTAAACAAGTGCATCTATATGCCTGGAAACATTTTGCCAATCACTGCTTGCTTTTAAGGAGTTCGATGAGGAAGGGAGAATGGAGCAATGTGAAACTTTTAAACTAGACACATTTGCACCTTTTACAATTGTATTTAACATTATTCACCAAAGAAAGCATCAGGCACCTCCCACAAGCCTGGGCCAAGTCCCTGAGCGTCCAACCAAGGGGTCAGAGAAGAAACAGAAATGAAAATCTAACAAGTTGAGTGGTGATCAGTGTTAGGAAAAAATAACGAGAGATAAGAGCTGAAAGGGGTGGGGCTCAGGGTCAGGAGCAGTTTCTCTGAACAAAGTTCCGTTTGAGCAGAGGCAGCAATACTTTAAGTAGTTAAAAAGGGGGAGGGTAGAGCTCAGTGGTAGAGCCCGTGCTTAGCATGCACAAGGTCCTGGGTTCAATTCTCGGTACCTCTGTCAAACAAATAAATAAATAAACCTAATTCCCCTAGCCCCCCCAAACAAGGATACATAAATAAAGAAAAGAAAAAAATAATAACTTATCGTGCAGCCATTAAAAATTATTTAAAAAAAAAACAGAGGGAGGGAAGCAGACAGTAACCCCCCTCTCTGCCTTTACAGACGAGTTTTTCCATTTCATCCTCCTCTGCTTTGCCATCGGGGCCTTGCTCGTGTGTTATCACTATTACACAGGTGAGCAGGGGGCCGCGTGGGCACACGGGGCGGGGGCCAGACCATCCGGCTGACCGCTCTGTCCTCGCCACCCGTGCAGACTGGTTCATGTCCCTTGGGGTCGGCCTGCTCACCTTCGCCTCGCTGGAGACCGTCGGCATCTACTTTGGCCTGGGTGAGGCCCCCACACAGGGACTCTGGGAGGGCGGTGGTTGGACCGGCCACACAGGGCCCAGCAGGGACCAGAAGGCCACGGCCTAAACATTTTGTAAAGATTTCTTTATGCTCGTGTTTTCTTCCTGACCGCTTTCGAGGTCAGTGTGAGGTCGTTGGCAAAACCCCCGGGGGAAAAAATGGGCTGCTCCATAAAAATACAACCCAAACAGTTTGACGTGGCAAACCAACAGACTTAGTCAGATACTGAAAACAAGTCAGTCGGTGGAGTTGGGTCCTGAATTCGCCGAGTTTCCTGGCATTGTTACTGCTGTTCGTGGTTGTTTTTAATAATAATAAGCCTAGTACTATGATCTAAGCTGAAGAGCTTTGTTTGAGTGGACTGGGCCCCTGTCCAGGGGTGGGCGGCGGGAGGGCTGACCCCGGCTCCCCCCACGGGGTACAAAGCTCAACCACCTTTCTCTTTTCTGAGCAGTGTACCGGATCCACAGCGTCCTGCATGGCTTCATCCCTCTTTTGCAGAAGTTTAGGCTGATAGGTAACTCTACGTTTTTCCTGTGTTCACTTTTCCCCTTCCTGACGGAGTCTTCTGTTGCAGAAGAGGCTTAGCGTATAGAAAAGAGCACGGGGCCTGCGGTCGGAGCCTGGGTTCCAGTCCTTCCTCTTCCAGTTTTCCATTTCTGGGGCCCTGGAGCCTCTTTTAGCCTCAGTTTCCTCACCTGGAAGATGGGTGTAATAATACCTCCAGCACGAAGGTGTTGTGAAAATCAAGTGAGGAATGGATGTTGAAGTCCTTAAGTCTGGACCACTGTAGAGAAGTAGAGGGAATCTTGATATTCCTCCTTCTCTCATGGAACTTTGCACTTCTCCAAACAATATCCTCTCTGTGATTTTCTTTCCCTAATAACAACTGGGGGTGAGAGTGGGTTTTAGTTATCTTACACTTGGCTGAGGAGCAAACGGAGGCTCAGAGAGGTAGAGCGACTTGCCCAGGATCACACAGCCAGAGTGGCTGGGCGGGGCTAAAGGACATCCTCTTTTTTGACCAGCAGCTCTGTGCCTGAGAGGCCAGGGGCTGTGTGTCTCTGCCGGGGACTTCTGTCTCCTTTCATCCGTCTCATTCATCAAGGGGTGATTAGTTGCCATAGCTGTGGCATGGAGACCTGTGGCCTCTGGGGTGACTACCTTATCCCAGCTGTGAGGGGTATTTGGGCATCTGGGGTAACGGTAGGGAGGAGTCCTGGCTGCTTTCAGAATCCCATGCCATCCTGCGGGCTTTGCCTTCCAGGGTTCAGGAGGACCAACTGAAGCCAGTGCAGGGTGGGCATTCCAGGCCAGGCCTCTGCGTGACCACCCCTACCTCCTCTCAGCACATGAGGATGGCGCAACGTTCCAGGAGACACGTGGGCGGGACAAGATAGAGCAATAAAGACAGCGCTTTTTCTTCCATGTGGTCTGAACATTGGCACCAGCCTGGCCAAGGTGCCCTTCAGGCAGCATTGGCCCCAACCCAGCTGCAGGATGTAAGGACGGGAGGGGTGCGGGCCTGCGCCCTTCACGGGACCTGGATCAGCAGGACGACCCTGTGACGTCACTCCTCTCAGGAGACGGGAGGAGACCCCTGGTCCCTGCAAGCTGTAATCTGTCTGGGCTTGTGATTTCTCTGAAGTCCCCAGGCTATCCCGGGACAGACAGACTGCCCAGAGGCAGAGAACCACCATATCGGGCCCCTGGGGTGAACCTGATACAGGTGAGATATTGAGGACTAAAGCCACAGTATCCAGGCATCTTCCCTCAGTCCTGTTACCTGGTGCCAGCCCTGCTACCCTTGGACTCTATCAAGATTCAAATAAACATTCTCTTCCCTGGACTAAAAAGAGTCAGCTAAGTATTTCTTTAGGTTTTTTGAGTGCAAGGATACATTTGGGGTCTTCTTTGACCCTATCTTGTCAGATAGAGTACCTTGTCCTACTGGATAAAGTATAAAAGAGAATAAATGTAAAAAAGCCCCTCATTTTAGGTCCACGACTTCAACTGCATAGGTTTGGAATGTGAGACAGGGTTTCGCAAACATTCTTGTGAAAAAGATCGGGGGCTGTTAGGTACTACTCGAAGCTCAACAAATACCAAAGAAATGAGATAAGGGCACAGAACAAAATCCATTGCAAACTTGGGTTGCATTAATTGAGGTATAGAGTCTAGACTGAAGGAGGTGATAGTAGGTTCTCTTGTTCAGTTCTAGAGTTGCATATCAAGAGTGACAATGACAAACTAGAGAATACACAAAAGAAACCAGAGTAAGGATATAAAGAATAATTGAAGAAGTGGGAACTTTCCTCAAAAGGGAGCCTGGAGTGCACAGATAAGATTTTTACCAAATGTACAAATAGAATGCAAGGTTTCACAATAGAAACATAAACTTGCTGACTGGAGGGCGGTGAGGGTAGCCTTCCCTGTCCAGCCTCAGTTTCCTCATCTGGACAATAGGCTAACAGTAGCGCCCACCTCACAGTGCATGGTGAGGGTTCTGGGAGATAATTGCCTTTCTGGCACATAGTAGAGGCTCAGTAGGTGGGAGGCACTTGATTTGGGCAGAGGCCACATCCAAGCCTTTAGGGTCAGTCAGGCAAAGTCAGCCCAATGTAGAAAATGGGGAGCAGGGGAGAGAGGGAGCAGGAGAGCCGATCCCTGACCAGAGGGATTTCCAGCCAGGGCTAGCCAGGAAAACAGAACTTGGCAGGTGTTCTAACAGAGAGATCTATTTATAGTGGGTATGTTAAGTGGGTGCAGGATCTTTGAAAAGGCAAAAAGGGACCACCGAGGAATCACAGAGCCTGACAGGGAGGCAGCCACCAGTTGGGGCTGGGGGAACAAAGGAAAGAGAACTATGAAGCTGGGGAGAGGGCCCCACAGAGCTGGGACCCTGACCTCTGAGGAGGGGCCCTGCCTGGGGAATGTCTCTAAGAGGAGCCTGATGAGGCTGGTTCTAGAAATGCAGGACCAGTGATGTCAGACCTCCAATTTCTCAGCAGAAGCAGGAAACCCAGATTTTTTTTTTAATGTTGGCAACTAATTTTCTTAAACAATAAATTTTTTAAAATTTTATTATTTTTGTTTGTTTTGTTTTTGTTTGGGGGGTAGGTAATTAGGTTTATTTATTTATTTATTTAATGGAGGTACCAGGTATTGAACCCAGGACCTCATGTATGCTAAGCATGTACTCTACCACTGAGCAATACCCAACCCCTGCTACTAATCTTTTAAAATCCCAAATTCTGCTATGGAAAACAGTATAGTGGTTCCTCAAAAAATTTAAAAATAGAATTACATTATGATCCAAAAAATCTACTTCTGGATACATACACAAAAGAATTGAAAGAGATCGAAAGAAATATTTGCACACCCATGTTCGTAATTCATGATTCACAGTTGCCAACAGATGGAAACAACCCAAGTGTCTATTGATGAATGAAAGGATAAACAAAATATGGTCTATGCACACAATGGAATATTACTCAGCCTTTAAAACGAATAAAATTCCAACATATGCGACAACATGGATGAACCTTGAGGACATTATACTAAGTGAAATAAGCCAGTCATAAAAGGACAAATGTGGATGATTCCACTTATATGAAGCCCCTAAAGAGTCAAACCCATAGAGACAGGAAGCAGGATGGTGGGTGCAGGGGCTGGGAGATGGGGAATGAGGAGTTAGTGTTTAATGGGGACAGAGTTTCCGCTGGGGAAGATGAAAAAGTCCAGGAGATGAACAGTGGTGATGGTTGCACAATAGTGTGAATGTTCTTAATGCCCCTGAATGGTACAGTTAAACACAGTTAAGATGGTGAATTTTATGTTACGTGTATGTTACCACGATTTAAAAAAACATTTCAAATCATTGGTGGTCAGATAAAACCATGCCCTGGGGGGCTCTCCATAGTGTTAAGCTGGAGACAGCAGCCGAAGGAGGTGCACGCAATGGAAGAGAAAGCCAGGGCAAGATGAAGGCCACCGTCATTTCTGTTCGACCTTCCAATTTTGGGCAGCCCGACTGCCTCGTGGGGATATGTTGCTGGTAACCTTGCCTTTCTGGGCCCAGTTATTAAAGGAGGGGCTCGGGTGGATCAGGTTGTAGGAGCCTCTCAGGCCCCGGCAGAGAAAGCCCCCCATCCAGGATCACAGCAGCGGGTCTGCCCCCTCGAGTGCGCTGCCACCCTGGGGCCCCAGCCCCCAGCGCTGCCCTTGGACCCCCTCACCACCTCTCTGCCCAGCCACAGCTCAAGGCCAGTGCCAGCGGGGTCTGGTTACACCTCAGGCGTCAAGCAGATTCTGGGAGCCCCAGTCCAACAAGCAGTCTAAAAATAAAGCGCTGAATCCTGAGTCCAGGCAGGCAGGGTTGCGACGAGCGGGGGGAGGGGGGCGGAGGGCTTGGGTGGAGTAGGCGGCTGTCTCTGGTTGCGCTGGTTTCTGCTGTGACCACAGCGGAGGGAGGACACGGGTGTGGGAGTATTTCGAGGCCATCCAAGCCCTCGCGCTGAGAGGAGAAAGGAGAGAAGGTCAGGAGGGCTGGGGCAGTTGCTGTCTGCTTCTCCTGCTGTGGCCCGGGAGCCCTCTGTCTACTCCAGGGGACCTGGGCGGGCGGGACCAGAGATGGAGCCAGAAATGCTGCTAGCTGGGCAAAGTGCTTGACGTGGGGGCTGGGCTCTGCCAGGAGGATGTAAGGAAGGGCTTTGCAGGCAGAGGACGCAGGCAGGGAGGACTGAAAGGCTAGCACGTCTGGGGGCAACAGGTATGAGTGCAGCGTGGTTGAGGAGGAGCGAGGATCAGCGGGCCAGGGCACACCCAGGGGAAATGGCCCCCTTCCCCCAGCAGGACCTTGAGAGCTGGGATGAGGAGTTGGGACTTTAGCCTGAGGACACTGGGGAGCCAGGGAAGGTGTCCGAGCAGAGGAGTGGCACCTTGAGGTTGCATTTTAGAAAAATCCCTCTGGTGGCCCTGTGGGGCCATGAGGACGAGCATGACCTCCAGCTACAGGAATGGTAATTGACCAAGAGGTGCCTGGATCTGTGTTTGCACCGAGGCCCTGCTCCCAGCCACAGACCTGAGATGGGAGGGACGCTAAGCAGACCCCTTCCTGGGAGGCACGGCTTGCCTCTGACAGCACACTTTGGCTTGAGGGCTCCCCGACACCTGCCAAACCGCCCTTAGACTCCCCGACACCTGCCAAACCGTCCGTAGACTCCCTGGCTGGCCTACTAAGCCCTTCCCCCAGCCCTCCTTCCCTCTCTCCTTCACCTGGGGCCGGATCTGCCTGAGGCCCTCCCAGCCTGCCACTCCTGTGGCGTCTTCTCTGCTACAGGTGCTTTCCCTAATGACATCCTTCCCTATGTCGTCTCATCCTGGTGCTGGCTTCTCAGCAGGCGCAGCTAGCGGGATAAGATGAGAGGCAGGGCCCCGAGAGCAGCGCGGGAAGGTAGATTCAGAGGCATTGAAGCCTAGCCCACAGTCTGACTGGAAGTGTGCACCACCCACAGCCCCCCGGCTTTTTCCCCGTGGTCGGAGTTTTTAATATGCAGCAGGGCAACCCTCTCTGTCCATATTGGTCTCCCCAGCCAGCCTCTGAGTCTGTTCGATAAATAAATGAGTGAGTGAATGAAAGAAGTGAAGGGAAAAAGAGGGGTCGAGGATGATCCCAGAGCTCCATTTTGGACCAAATGGTGGATGGTTATAGTCAATATTTGCTAATTGCCCCGGTGTTTTTCCCGCACAATTTTCCTTTGAAGAATAAACCTGTACTGTTTGGTGCATCAAAGGAGATGATCAAGAGTGAAAAGACAACCTGTAGAGTGACAAAGTATTTGCAAATCAGACATCCAATAAGGGTTTAACATCCAGAATATATTTTTTAAAAAAAAAGCTTGTACAACTCAACAGTAACAAAATAAACCACCCAATTCAAAAATGAGAGATAAAAAAGGCAACAGAATTGAATAGGCATTCCTCCAAAGAAGTTATTTTTTTAATGGCCAATGAGCACAAGAGAGCAGGTTTTCAATGGATTGGATGAGGCTTACTCACACTGGGGACGGCAGTCGGCTTTGCTCAACATTGTTAGTCATTAGAGAAAAGAAAATCAAAACCACAATGAGGTGCCACTTCACACCCATTAGAATGGCTTTTATTTTCTAAAAAGGGAAAATAACAAGTATTGGTGAGGATGTGGCGAAATTGAAACCTGGTGCATTGAGGGTGGGAATGTAAAAAAAATGCTTCAAGCACTATGAAAAACAGTTTTGGCAGTTTCTCAAAGTTAAACAGAGAACCCAACAATTCCACTCCTAGATATAGACTCAAAATAATTGAAAACAGGGACTTAAACAGATATTTGCACACCCATGTTCACAGCAGCATTATTCACAGCAGCTGAACTGTAAAAGCAGCCCACCTGTCCATCAATGACGGACGAGTGAATGCATAAAAAAGATGTGCTCAACACACACAATGGACTATTATTCAGCCATAAAAAGGAATGAATTCTGACACCTGCTACACCATGGATGAACCTGAAGGACATTATGCCAAGTGAAATAAACCAGTCATAAAATAATGGCTATCGTATGATTCCACTTACATGAGATACTAGAATAGGCAGATTCATAGAGACGAAAAGTATCATAGAAATTACCAGGTGCTGGGGGAGGGGGGGAGGGCGGTTATTGCTTAATGGGCACAGTTTCCATTTAGAGTGATGAGAAGGTTCTGGAAATGGATAATGGTGATGGTTAGAAGACCTTGTGAATTTACAAATGACAAGTATACATTAAAAAATGGTTAAATGGTAAGTTTTATGTGATGTATGTTTTACCA